TAACAGCACTCATGAAGTCGTTGTAAAGGATTTCTACGCTGAAGGAATTTTCTTGGATTTAATCGGTATATTCAAAATATCTATACAACTATCAAAAATTTAAAGATAGGTTTAGTGCTAGACGTAGCAGGGACTCTAAACAATCATCAATAATGGTTTTATAATATAATAAAAAGGATTCTGGAAAGAACTTCGATGAGCTCTTTTTACAATATGTACCAGAAGTCAAACGTCCATAAAACCAACTTTGTAGTGGATCTTTGGAGGTGGATCAAACAAAACTTTCATGGTTATGTATACAGTTAATCGTATTGTCTCTACTGATTAATGATTGGCTTATTAAACTTGATAACGATTGGTCAGAAAAACAAACATATTCTGAGTTGGGTAGTTGTGATTTTATTAGTGTTGTATATACGTTTACATTATTATAGTAAGTCTGAACACTTTTTTATGAATGATTTAGTTTAATTTAAACATAAATTCAATTAACTAATTAGTTGACTATGCAAAATTGACTATTTAGAATTAATTTAGTAGTTGAGTCCATGAATCAATTAAAGCTGGATCATCATGGAAAACGTGGAAGCACTGTACAGCCGTTTCGCCCTAGTATGGGGCTCTTCAGTGGTGCGTGCCCACGATCCCACACACGGGATTCGAACCCAAGAGCCCTCGGCCTCATGCGCGAGTGCTTAAACCCTAGACCACTGAGATGGCCGCCATCCAACGGTGTTAATGTCTAGCTTCAACCAATTCGCGAAGTAGTTTTTAGTACTGGTAGATCTTTATTGTTCAAACACTATAATACATCCACCTAGCTAAGTGATAGGAACTAGAATGCATGATATTTATTGTTTAACGGAGGAAGCCCTCTGAACATAAATCGAAAGAAAAGTCCTAGTTTATTATTGGTTCAATAAGGTTGAAAACTTCAGTCATTAAAGTTAAATTTAATGATTAATTTATTGATATACTGTCATCTGAAATGATTTACATAGTATTGTCCCTCTAAATGATGTCAGAGTGTCATTAAATAAGCATTTGATGTAAAAAACGAGAATACAATTATGGACAATCAAATGTATTTGAATACAAAATTACAGAATCACTTAGTGAAATTTAGGAACCATACATTAAATACTTCATTTGCAAAATATCCATCAATCGTCCCGGAATTTGTTGTTCATTCGTTTCCATACCAACCATTCTCTGTTCTCGTTCTCTTTTCTTTGATCTTCTTAACCTTCTGCTATCAGGTATTTCATTTTCGATTGATGATACATACTACTACATATATCTACCGACATCAGTAGTATACATCACACTAACACCTCCAATTTGTTGACAATTTTTAAGATGGTACATCGATTTATGATGCGGGGCATTTTCATGGTAACAAAATACTATATATATTTATCAGCCAGTAGTTTTGTTTAATATTCTTTTTTTAAAATGGACTGAATTCTACTCATAGTGACAACAAACTTTTATAAAAAATTTAATTATCAGTATAAGGGTGAAGAGATTATTAATTTTTTGATTGAAATCATGAACCGATTGATGTTAGACCACCACTGAAAACCTGAAAGCACTAAACGGCCGTTTTGTCCTATTGTGGGACTCTTCAGCAGTGTGTATCTACGATTCCACTCACGGAATTCGAACCCATGGCCTTCAGTCTCGCGCGCTAACGCTTAACTTCTACATCACTGAGATAGCCGGTATCCAACGGTGTTAATGTCTAACCTCAACCAATCCACGAAATTTCGCGACCGTCTTCCATTATAGTGAGGTAGATACCTGTCTCTACACGACACGGAATTGGTCAACAGGTAAGGATGGGTACAACAATTCATGATCTTCAAGTCAAGTTAATGCACATGATAACACTACCATCATATATAGTTATCAGACAGATAAATATCCTCCATCTTCATATTAATTTCAAAATGGAAACATCAACAAACCCTTCATGAAACAAGTAAATAATACATCGATGAATTTGATTTATCTGTCAGATGAGCGAAGAATGAAACAATTTGATTTAATCCATCCTATTTTAAACCTAGCAATATCATAAATAGTTTATAATGAGAAAAGGTTATCCGTAAAGTCGACCAAATTGAACTTGAGGACAGGTATCTAATGAATACGATTAACTATGGTTTATTACGTCACCAATTCATTAAATTCAGTTTCATAGATATTTATTAACTGGAATGACTTTACGCTACTCGTGAGGCGTCGATGCATTAAATGATATCTATTGTGGTGTTAGGCATAAATGCTGTTCAAATGTTTTAAGCAAGAATAAAGAAGCTATTCACTTAGTTCAGACATAGAATGACTATCCAGTTGATCTGAAAACACAGGAAACATTGTCGTTCAATAAAACAATTTTGTTGAAGAGAGTAAGAACAATGAATTGAACAGAATAACATGAGTTTATTATATCTCGCTAGATTCTTATCAACTGATTACAACCTAAAATAAATTAAAATCAATATTATCGTAAAGGTTTTACATACTTATAACAGCAAACATGGATATGTATTATCATAATGAAGTACTGAGATCAAAGACATCTAAAGAGTAGTGCAAATTAATGTAATAAACGCGTGAAGATTCTGGATGGTCCAACGAAGTAACAAGGAGTTATAGAGCTAGAGTAATTCATTGATAATGTGATGAAGTAGTTGAAAATAACTCCACCTGTAAATCTTCTAGGATTAATGTCGGTTCCAAGCCCGGGTGAATGAGCAGGATTGAGTGTGGGGTTGGTAACTCCACCTCGTAGAAAACAACCCTGCCAAAAGAACGTTAACCGGATTAAACGAATTCAATCATTTAAACTCTGTCCTGTGAGTTGAAGGAATAATTATAACGCTTCATGCTGAAAGCCACGAGGCTGATGCTTCTTCTAACTACCAAAGCAACGATTAACATTGTGTTGGGAACGATAGATCCCCAAACTCATATTTTTAAATTTTATCGCATCGATCAACTTATTGATTAAATGTTTAAATATTTGTATTGGGGTCAATCGATGAACTGATCGATTAAATGTTTGAATAGCAGTCAATAGATGAACTATCGATTCAATGGGCGAATAGGTCAATTTATGAACTCATTGATTAGTGTTTAGAAATTTTCTATGACAATATCGATTATATATATTTATATATATATGTTTAAATTGTGTTTGAGTGCTTGCCTGCTGCTCGCTTGCTCGCTCGCTTCTGGCTGTTGCAGAATATATTTTCCATACCAAGCCTGGACTTCTTCTTCTAGATAGCGGGGCTGGGACGCGTCAATAGTTAGATCACTGGTCTTTGGTCACTGAGTATTGTTCTCGTCCGCAGTTTAAGTGAACTCGTGAAGTTTCAAACCTAACACATTGATATATGGAATGTCTGGACAATGTGGAAGACTCAGAGGACAGTTGATAGACTCAAATCTTTTGGGGTCAGTAGTCGACAGTCGAATTCCTTCCTCAAATTCGTTCAATCTTTGATCATCAAACGTCTTAAAAAAGACTTAGGTGTCCAAAAAGAAACAGTTGCGAATCTTTCTTTACCATGATGATTTTAACATCGATTTATTACATCACTCTAGCAGTCGTTTTTCCTCACATTGATTTCATTGCTTATTTCAAACTCAAAAGTTTATTCTTAACAGACTGTTCTCAACTTACTTACGTCTGTTGCTCTCAATGAAGTATAGGCCAACCAGCATTCTCAAACCCACTCTGTCCTGAACCTTTCTTTCTGATTCTATACAACTTTTGTCTCCATTTCTAGGCGTAATGTGTTCTTCGGTCTTGAGGGTTTCAAGTGAGGGCTTACCTTGTAACGCACTTGGGTGCTTTCCTCAATGTGTAACCCATCCACTTCCAGCGCTTATTCCCGATTTCTTCCTCCGCTGTGATCTGGTTTGTTCTCCTCACAGTAGGTTGTTGCTGATAATGTCTGGTCAACGGATCCGAAGTGTTTTGCGTAGACAGCTGTTAATAAACACTTGTATCTTCTGGATGATGTCTTTCGTAGTTGTTCAAGTTTCTGCTCCATACAGTAGAACTGTTTTGACATTTGTATTGAAAATTTTGACTTTGTTGTTGGTTGATAGTTGTTTTGAGTTCCAGATGTTTTTCAGTTGTAGATATACTGCTCTTCCTTTGCTAATCCGCTCCTTCACATCTGTTTCTGATTCACAGTGTTCGTCAATGTTGCTGCCCAGATATGTAAAGGTTTTTACATCCTCCAAAGCTTCTCCGTCAAATGTGATTTGATTGGTGCATGCTGTGTTGTATTTCTCGAATTATGCTACTCTCAATTATTATTAATTTATGTTCAACTACTACTTCACATTATCAATTAATTACTCTAGCTCCATGACCATCGGCTTTCATCATGAAGCGTTATAATTATTCCTTCAACTCACAGGACAGAGTTTAAATGATTGAATTCGTTTAATCCGGTTAACGTTCTTTTGGCAGGGTTGTTTTCTACGAGGTGGAGTTACCAACCCCACACTCAATCCTGCTCATTCACCCGGGCTTGGAACCGACATTAATCCTAGAAGATTTACAGGTGGAGTTATTTTCAACTACTTCATCACATTATCAATGAATTACTCTAGCTCTATAACTCCTTGTTACTTCGTTGGACCATCCAGAATCTTCACGCGTTTATTACATTAATTTGCACTACTCTTTAGATGTCTTTGATCTCAGTACTTCATTATGATAATACATATCCATGTTTGCTGTTATAAGTATGTAAAACCTTTACGATAATATTGATTTTAATTTATTTTAGGTTGTAATCAGTTGATAAGAATCTAGCGAGATATAATAAACTCATGTTATTCTGTACGATTCATTGTTCTTACTCATTTTCAAGATGATAAAGAGAACTAAGTGTATGATGTTACTCAATGAATTGTTTCTATAAATTTCAACATTTAGTGACTTCTTCGGATTTCAGAACTTGTATTTCATGAAAACGTGGAATAATCTACTTCCACTCAGTAAACCTGAAGAGTTATTGAAAACTATCGAAATTCCATTAGAAGAACAGAAAGTGATTCGACCGCATCAATTATATCCTTTAGCTACATCAATGAACAGAAACTCATGCCACGTTATTTATAATGACGGTGTACATAGTGATTGTTGTGTATGGTCACCTGATCCGTTAATCAATGGTCCAGCAAGATGTGGCTGTTTTATGGCTACTATTCTAGCTATATTCAGTATCATATTATTACTTATTGGGATAATTTTAACCATACTGCATTACGTAATCGGTATGGAATTTTATACAATTAACCGTGGTCAAACTATTGGTCCATTACTATTAGGCCTCACAATTATACCACTTATATTCATGATCTACTTCATATGTATAGCTAGGCATAAAATAACTGATTATGTTGAACAGTTATCATTGAATTACCTTGCCAAAGAACGAATAGCTTATAGACAACATCAGGTAATTCTGTTAATTTTGTTTTGAACTGTTGTCTTTTAAATCATCAGAGCAAGATTGTTTCGTTCAATTACTAATAAAAAGTAATAATAAATTTTAATAGTTGAGATCATAAGTCACTGAAGCTAGACGACCATGGAAAACCTGGAAGCACTAGACGACCGTTTCATCATATTGTGGGACTAGTCAGGAGTGCACATTCATGATCTCACCTCGCGAGATTCGAACTCAGAACCTATCAGTCTAGCTCGCGAACGATCAACCTCTAGACCAGTGAGATGGTCGGCATCCAACCGTGTTAATATCTAACTTCAACTAATCAATGAAATTGAGCGAAACATCCACCATTGCCATCAGTGAGTTACTATCTCACAACAGACCCGATTGAACCCCACTGGTCACTGCTTCTCAATAGAACTCCAGGAAATACCTCTTGAAGCCAATCACTAATGAGCATATGTTGATTAACTGAAACAAATAAGATTTCAATCACACATTTTAACACTATAATACATTTTAACAACAGGGAATATATTACTGTTCACACTCACATGATAAGAGAAAGGTATGTAATAGTAATAATAATAATAATAATAAAAAGAAATGTTAACTTACTAGGGCTAAATAATAAGATGGTCAGCAACTGGATTCTAGCTCATTTACCTGCAAGCGAGTCGTACAGTCAGTGTAAATCAATTATTTGTTATAATCTGTAGTCTAAGTAATTGTTTGTTGAAAATTATCGAACTTTGAATCTTCTAAGTAATAGCTATCTGAATCTTTATGGATGAACCAATCATTTATAAGACAACAGGTCTCGGATTTTGGCCCGAAATCCACTCATCTAGTTGGTTAAATAGAGTTTTGTCATTATAGCTGATGTCAGTTAGTAATGAAAACTCTAAATCTAATTCCTAACCTTAACCATCAACTGTAAATCATAATTCAAAGTCCTCACACAGGTTTATAGCCTTCATTTGGTCCTCGTTATTAGGTGAACACTCTCAAGGTCAGTCTAAAGTCGCTTAAAGGTCGTCCATAAATTACAGTCTCACCAAAAAGCAAACACAACTTCTGGTACATAAGCAATACGTTCAATTATCCATAGCACCTTAAACAACTTAAGAGTCAATCTTATCAACGTTTATCCTAATTGTGGGATTATGTAATTTCAGAAGTGTATAGGAAACCTTTCCTCTTATATACATTTTTGTGATATCCCAATGATTAGAAATATATAATTCGGACGTTTCAAGACTTAATGTAATTGAAATTCAATAACTTGAATCTATCTTAGATATTCATAGATGGACAGTGTACCTGCATCTTAGAGTTCATGTCCACTCCGGGACTCGAACTCAATGCCGTTCGCTTCAAACGCCATCACGTTATCCATTTAGCTACTGAGTTCTGAAAGACACCTGCTTGTGCAATGGGTTGAAGTTTTAGATTCACTTGGTGTTGCTTACTTGTATATTCCCTCTGTTATTTAGTACTGCGATTGACCATCAACTCTGAGATGCAGGTATATTAGCTGACGAGTCCCAAACAGAACAAAACACCCATCAAACGGGATTCCACTACTAGTCACTATCTTCTTTGCTTATGATGTTTGTGAACTAAGGCAATATGCACATATGCCAACACGAGACTGATCAATTGCAGTCCTAAACATGAATGGGAATATTCAAGTAAACAACAGGAAGATTCAAACAAACAATACCAAGTGAATTTATCTTAGATATTATTATTTACTATTATTATCATTATTCATACGAATATTCGTCAATATTAGAACGAATAGTTTGACAAAAACTGGTCCCTGAGTATATATAAGTCATTATATTTGAAGTAATCTCAGTGATTGAAATTTAAAATAATTCCAACATTTCGTCCATCAAACTTGTCTGGACTTCTTCAGGGTAATAATCGAAATCAAGATCATCAAAGAAATATATATAGCGTTCAACAATCAAATCTATGCTGCGCTAATCCAACCATATTTGGATGTTGATTTTAGTAAATAGAATAATATGAGTTGGTTACATGCGAAAAGTTCACAATGACTAAATGATTTGTGCGTGTGTAAGATTGAGTTATTAATAGTTGATAATCGGTGTTACATTTGTTGTTATATGAAGAAAGAATAAAAGTACAAGTTGAAGGTTGAAAAATTGTTTTTGAATCAATGATGTGCATGTAAAATGAGAATCATCAAATACATAATTGTGTATTGCTATAATAACTCACAATAATTTCAGTCAGAATAACGATGTATGTAATATGAACAGATTGGATAGAGAAGGGATCCAGTTACTTATTAACAAATATTTGCCAAATAGTTGCTACTTAAATACTATCCTTTCGGTCCAGGATGTTCTTGTTCGCCCATATATACAGTGAGTCTGCTATCAGTCTTCCCTTATGAGTGTTAAAACCTTTCTGAAGTATTTTGGTCCTTTCGAAATTGATCTTGTGTTCTGTTTCCAATGCATGTAACGCTATCGCCGACTTATTCTCAGGTTTCTTTAAGTCAACCGAAGATTTGGAAATATTTTTCAAACACTGTTTGTATTCCTTCAACCTTGCATTCAATTGTCCTGATGTTTCTCCCACGTAAGCTGCATTACAATCGATGACAATTGATCTCATAGACAACATTGTGTTGTTCTTCCTTTGGGAACCTTTCCTAATGCCAATCTTATGGTGTCACATTCCTGAAACTACACCCTTATAACCTGTTTGTTTAGAATCCTCTTGATTTCATCCGATGTTTCATTACAGTATGGGATGACCACGGTGGACTTCCAATCTTTCGGTATACATTCTAGTTTTTCATTTCTAATAATCTTCTTTAAAAACTCTTTGGAGTAATTGTTATCCCTAAGCATAGACAAAACTCTATTCAATTCAACCTATTGGTCTTCTTTATCTGTAACGAGATTAATACTTCTGTTAATTAAATTTATTACAACTGTGAGTTCCGTACAAAACGCATGAGCTGAACCACGTTCTAAGTATCTCTCAGAATGTGTTGATTATCTGAATAAGTTTACTTTCAACTTATTATCATTATGTCTTCGTTCAAACAAACGATAGAGAAACGCTAGTTCATGATCACTGGACTCTAATTCCTTTGTTAGCTTAATGTTCTCCGAAATTCTGTTCATATGTTTAAATAATTCTCCTGAATCATTCAGTTTAATGATAATTTTGATTATTATCCTGAAGAAGTTCAGACAACTTTGCTGGACGAAACACTCGGTAAGCCGTGGAACCCAATTTGACGCGCGTTTCGCCCTATTTGAGACTCATCAGTTGGATGTACCTGCATCCCAAAGTTGATGTTCACTTCAAACGCCATCGCGTTATCCACTTAGCTACTAAATGCTGATAGCCACCTGCTTGTTCAATGGGGCGAAGTTTAAATTCACTTGATGTTGTTTTACTTGTATCTTCCCAATGTTGTTTAGGACTGCAGTTGATCACTATTATGTTGACATATGTACATCCTGTGCGAATTGTGAGACTATAATTCATGGTCGAGCTTTGATCGACGCCAGAGTAACTTTGAGAATGTATATCTATTACTGGAGCTCAATAAGGGTCATAAAGCAAGGTGAGAAATAAGGATTATGATTTACAACTGATGGTTACGGTTAGTCATTAGATTTATAATTTTCATCACGAACTGATATCAGCTAAAATGCCAAAACGTTATTTAAACGAATGGATGAATGAATTTCACGTCAAAATCCAAGACTTGTTATCCTTAAATCTGATTGGCTCGTTCATAAATTATAGTCTCGCTGTATGGAACTATTTGGGTCATATTATTTTTGTACCATTTACAGGATGATATTGACTTAGCTATAAGGAGCTTTAATTAATATGACCCATATATACATATATATTTTAATAGTTGAACTTATGAATTAATTGAGGCTAGACTATCATGGAAAACTTGGATGCATTGAACGGCCGTTTCGTCCTATTATGAGACTCCTCAACAGTGTGCATATATATACATGTTTATCAATACAGAAGTATTTATAGTATCTATGGTTGTAATATGTCGTTACCTCGCTCTCAAACTGTTCTTAACATTATTCCAGGCAGAATTAGCACGAAGTTCAATTGGATTACAAAACTCATCTAGATACAGTTAATAAACCAAGAGAGAAATCCACTGGATAAACTAATCTCATTCAACATTTGATCTTTTTGTGAATTTCATTTAAACATTTTGTAACCTACAGTCATTAATACATTCAATGTAAAACATTATCAAGGTGAACCTTATTTATCAAAACATTATAGATGTAAGAATTTACAAAAAAGGTGTATTCATTCTTTATATCTATTTTTTCTTATATTACTGTAACCATGGTGATTTAGTTTCTTGTACATACATCATTATGCTTACATGTTATTTCTGTTATTAACTTTGATAAAATCTAGAAATTATATGCAAAGATGGATAGTGGCTAGTAGTGGAATCCAGTCCGACGCGCGTTTCGTCCTATTTGAGACTCGTCAGCCGTATGTACCTGCATCTCAGAGTTGATGTTCACTCCGGGACTCGATCTCAGTACCATTCACTTCAAACACTATCGCGTTATCCACTTAGCCACTGAGTTCTGATATCCACTTGCGAATGGTACAGCGTTCGATCCCCAGAGTGAACATCAACTCTGAGATGCAGGTATATCCGGGTGACGAGTATCAAATAATACGAAACGAGCGTCAAACTGGATTTCACTGCTAACCACTATCTATGTTTGTTTAAAAAACTTGCGGCGTAAGGCTATATCGGGGTAATCCACACAGTATGCACATATACCAACAAGCGACTGATCAATTGCCATCCTAAATAACCATGGGAAGATACATGTGAAATTAAATCTAGAAATTTTTTAACATTTTGATTGACGTAATTCATTAAATCACGGCTTCAGTAGGTTTTTTATCGCGAAACTATAATTTATGTACGAACCAATCAGATTCGGGGATAAAAGGTTTCGGATTTTGGCGCGAAATTTATTCATTTGGCTAAATAGAAATTTGGCATTATAGCTGATGTCAGTTCGTGATGAAAATCGGAAATCTAGTTCCTAATCCTTAACCATCAACTGTAAACCATAATTATGATTCCTCACACTGAATCATAACACTCATTTAGTCTCAGTTATTAGGTGGACACTTTCAAGGTCACTTTAACGTCGCTCAAAGGTTGTTCATAAATTAGTGTCTCACCCAATACTTACATACTTCAGTGATTCCAGTGTATCCACTGCTATTTCACTTAAACACATTTTGAACAAGTAGTGTACTGCATATTCTCTTCATTCTTAATACTGTAAATTATTATCATTATTTATTATTATTTTAACACATAGATATTGGTACAAGGAGGCACCAAATACATGTGCGCCACACAAATCTCATTCGATATGTGTGAGGGCTGTGATACTGCCCAGGTGCCCAAACCGAAGTAGGTGGTTTTCTTAGAGGGCCACACCCCGAGCCTTCGACCTGAAGGTCTAATCCACAAGGCAGTGGAGCATAGTAAGGAGATGCAGTCTCATGGAAGCCGGTGACCAACGATTGGTTCATACGCCATTTGTTCCTTCAGGATACTGGAGCCCATGTGCACCATTGGTTTGGAATCCGGTTAAAGCGCCGGACATTCGCTTTTCGTCCTCTCATTTTCGTAAACAACATCCCCGCCACGAGAAGGTAGTGAGTAGGACTTCCCTGGCAGAGGCTATATACGCGTGGCCATGTGAGAGAATTTCGAGAGGGAGAGAGGACTTTCCCCACTCTCGGCCGTACCAGGGCATTTGGGGCCTAATACTGTAAAGATTGTCTCTAAGTAAAAATCTTACGTTTTGCGTGGACAAAAACAGTTAGAGTAAAAAGATCAACTATGCATATAAAGTATCTGCTTTTAGGAAGTATATATATAGTATTTACAAGGCTAGTTGTTTCACAAGGAATTGTTTTCATCTTCGTAAAATGTTGTACAGGCACTATTTACATATGATGTTCCCCCAAATGCCCGGGTACGGTCAAGAGTGGGGAGAGCCAGCTCTTCCTCTCCAAATGCTCTCAAGTGGTCACGTGCATACAACTACTGCCTTCTCGTGGTGTTGGTGTTATTTACGAAATTGAGAGTACGAAAAGCGAATGTCTCGCGCATTAACTAGGTTGGCGGATATGGAGGATCCACCTACAGGAGTTAGAAAACCCTCATTCCAAACAAATCGTGCACATGGTGTTGGGATATTCAGGAAAATATCCCAAAAATTATTCTGTTAAGTCTAATGCTATTCTTGGACTTGAGATGGTATCATTTTCCTATTGGTAAATATTTATTTCACGTGTCATTTTCCTACTGCTCAATACTTATTTCACGTGTGAAATGTTATTTTCTATTTTATGGTACGATGTGGTCTGCTTGATTGGTATATAAACAGAGTATGCTTGAAATATAACGATTCATACCTCAGAGGCTGAGACTTACGTTCTGGACTCAACTGGCTGGGCTAGACAGGGAAGTGGGGCCAATAAGAACTCTAGGCCGTTCTTACGTGTTTACGCGTCTCTGGTCCGATCGATAATTCGTTGCCCTCTAATCTGCAGTCCACAGTCATAACACATGGGCTCCAGTATCCTGAGGAAACAAATGGAGTATAAACTGATTGTTGGTCACCAGCTACCATGAGACTGAGTTTCCTTGCGTTGCTCCACTGCCTTGTGGATTAGACCTTTAGGTTGAAGGCTCCTAGTATGGCCCCCTAAGAAAACTACCTACTTCAGTTTGAGCAACCAGGCAGTATCCCAGCCCCCATACAAATCGAATGGTTTATATGGTGCATATCTATTTGGTGCCTCCTTGTATCAATATTTATGTAAATAATAAATACGTATGATGTTAACAATAGTGTTATAGATTGATTTATAAACAAACTGGTGATCAGACCTCCTAAATTACTTTTGAAAGTCATTTCATTGCAAGTTGGGTTTTTTTATTCTACCTTCATTCTATGTGGCTCAATGTTATACGATGAAATCACCATATGATTTTCCTTGGTTTATATCGACTCTATTCACTTTTACTATCATATTTTGTATTTGATTAAGACAGTTCATCCCGTTGTTTTATAAAACGGTATAACTAGTATTTTTACTTTCCACCTGGGCTTACTCAGTATAGACCTATGGAGATTATTAAGTTTTTTATTGAGATCATGAATCAATTGATGTTAGATCACCATAGAAAACCTGGAAGCATTGAGCGGCCGTATCGTCCTAGTGTGATGTTCCTCAGCAATACGCGCGAAACCGAAAGCCTTGGGTACGAGTTCCACGTGCAGGATCGTGGATGCGCACTACTGAGGAGTCCCATATTGGGAAGAAACAGCCATCCAATGCTTCTAGGTTTTCCATGATAGTCTAGCTTTAATCGATTCATGAATCCAACTATTAAATACAATACTATTAATTTGCCTCTAGTTTATTGTTCATAAGGTTATTTGTAAGGTTAAAGTAAATCTGTAAACTCTCTACGTTAATTTCTGTGTTGGGTGTGTTTACATTTACGTGGATTTATTCTCTATTAGGTACTTACTTAGTTAACTATACATCAACTCATGTAACTATGACAACCCAATAATCCATAATGCAAATCAATAATTTCATCTGTCTACAAACATAACGATTAGTCATAATTAGGGTAATGGTATGAAGTCTTTTGTATTTGTTTAGGTTGTTTGCCTTAACAATTAAACACTATATTAATGAACAATTTGAAATTTCAAAAATACGAAATTTAGCGAAGGGATCTCTTTTTAACCAATTTATTATCAAGCTGTATAATCATATTTATATATGAAAATCGTTTTGTTAAAGTACTAGTTCCGTGAGGAAATGTGAACAAGGAATAACAGAAATGACGTAATCGAAAAAATTGTGATACTATATTATGTAATAGGAATAGTAACAACAGACTTAGTAAGTTAGTAACAAATTATAACGTGAATATAATAAGATGACTGAAATGTTCTTGTTACAATAATTAATGGTCATAGAATCTCGGCTTTCAACAACTGGGAAGGATTGCCCAGGACACGGTAGGATGGAGAGTGCTGGTGGGCTCCTCCACAAGGAGTAACAGGAGTAAGTAAAAGTCATAGAGGTGTAAAAAATAAATAAAGTGATATGATGAGTACTTGTGAATAAAATAATGAGTATATGAGACATAAGTAACGGAGAAATGCAGTAATAATAATAATAATGGCCAAGGTAACGATAGCGATAGAATGTACTACTTTTGTACGCCTAGTTCTGGCTTCAGCTCATGGATGGTAAGAACTCAGGCTATTTTTAAGAGTTAGATATGAAGAAACTTAAGTAGATTTGAATGAATCATATATACAACCTTAAAATCAAACTATGGATCCTTAGAATGATTACAGTCAATTAGCTTTTCGAGTATAGAACTCCTAACTGTATTCCTATCACCCTTGTAGAAACAAACTGAGGCGGGTTCCTGTATCGGAGTTGAAAGTGAGCGCTGGCTCTTGTTCCACAAGAGTAGGTGAACTGGTAGATTCACATAGAGTCGATCAGACGTGGAAGCTTATCTTTTATGGATGCAGAAAATAATTTCCTGCAACTGAAAGTTATTCGCAGTTTTGCCACACTGAATGTTCTTTTAATCGCTGTCGTTAAACGATTTTTAATTACATCAGGTGTTCGATCACCTTTAAATTCCAAACTTATGTAGAGGTTTTTCTTTGGGACGGAATAACGAGATTTCTTTTCACAACCGCTTCTCATTTTTTTTTTATCTATGAAGCGGTCTGGATGGCCATTTTTCGTCAAACTTTTCCTGAGGAATGAGAATTCTTAGTCAATGAATTTCGTACTACATATCCGATGATATAAAGAGTGAATGAGGTTTCTCTTTCTGCTTAAATGAATCCAGCTATATATATATATATATATATATATATATATATATATATAAAGCTTGATAGTAAATTGATTGAAAAGAGATCCATTCGTTTATCGAAGAATTATTAATTAGCTATTCAACAGAATAATTCTACTTCCAATCATTGGAAAAACGATTAGTTCGATTTTTACCGTAGTGAGTAGACAA